AAAAAAAAAAAAAAGTACCAAACTCTAAAATTCTCTGTTAGGTTTCAAAGGTGTGTGGGACTGATATTATATGTAAACTACCGTGGTGTATTTTTAAAACTAGTCTGACTGCCACTCTTCTGTTTCAGGTTTACTCCTGATTTCACAGCTTCTAGAGTTATTCGTGAACTGAAGTTTATAACAACCAGTGGCTCTGAATTTGTATTTGTATTGAATGCATCCCTTCCATACCATATGTTAGCAACCTGTGCGGAAGCCCTACCCAGACCCAACTGGGAGCTGGCTCTGTACATCATCATCTCAGGAATCATGAGGTATTTGTGTCTTCTTTTGAGGTTGGTATTCAGGCATCACTTGACACTGTTCCTCGCATGCCCATGGTGTGCCAGTCACTGTTGTGAATGCTGGGAATCTATCAGCAAACAGAACAGACCTTTTTGCCTTGATCAAGCCTGCATCTAGTAGTGGGAGCAGTCAGAACTGAACCCCACTTGAGTGGCATATACAATAAGCAAAAGTCTTCTACCTTTAAAATTTCTTACACAAATTAAGTACGCGTTAATTTCTTAAAGGGAAAAAACCACTCATAATTTGCCAGGTAACGTTACTTGATTTGGGCATAGGTAACTTACTCAACATTATATGATACTTTTTTTTAAACAGACCTAAGCAGCATGAAATGTGAGGAATATTTTTTGAATCCTCGGCAACCTCATCTTTTTTTCAGTATATTTATATCTTTGGAGAATCTGATACACGTGCCTCTAAATTTACATGGTTACCCCACACATCCTTTAAGGGAAAAAGAGTTGGTCTGGAGAGTTAAAACCGCAAGGTAAAAGCTTCTTGGTAAGAGGAAAAGTATCCTCCAGGTGTCTGTCCTGATACAAGTAATTATTTCCTCTATATAAGCCTCCATGTAAGTTGGCATTCTATAAAAATGAGCGTGCAGGCATCCCTGTTTTTTATATCCTGTTGTACTTTACCAAGAAACTCTGTCTTTAATATCAGATTTTGTTACTCTTACACTAACAAATGAATCCCAACTCTCCACCTTCTGTGCCCCTACAGTGCACTGTTTCTCTTGGTAATTGGAACAGCCTATTTAGAAGCTCAAGGAATTTGGGAGCCATTTCGAAGGCGACTATCCTTTGAGGCCTCGAACCCACCCTTTGATGTGGGAAGACCATTTGATCTCAGGAGAATCGTTGGTATTTCATCTGAAGGAAAGTATGTTCACATGCTGGAAATAAAGTCTCTAGTATACATAAATGTGGCTGATGTAGTTAAAAGAAAAAATAAGTTTTTCTTTTCATCTTTGCTCAAGGGGGAAGAAATCTTAATTCTAATTACTTCATAATCTCTTGTGTACAGCTCTCTTCTCTGCTAGAACTCAGAGCTGATCCCATGTTTTTATTGTGTTGGTGAGGGTTGAAATATTCTTAGTTAGATCACTGACTTGATTCCTAAATTTTCAGATAGAATAGACCCTATAAAATTGTGGAAAGTATCCCTATTTCTTGCTGGGTTTTTTTTTTTTCCTTAGAGTACATATCTCTCTTGTGGCTATCTTGATGAAATAAAAATTTTTTCATATTAGATTTTGTAAGTTGCTATTTACTGATCTGCGGTTGGTCCTTTTTGCAGCTTGAACACACTCAGCTGTGACCCCGGTCACAGTAGAGGGTTCTGTGGAGCAGGCGGCTCGTCGTCCCGACCCAGTGGAGGGAGTCACAAGCAGTGTGGCCCACCGGTGCACCCACACAGCGGTCACAGCAGTAGAAACTCAGCTGACGTGGAAAACGTCAGAGCGAAAAACAGCTCCAGTACCTCTGGCAGGACTTCTGCGCAGTCTGCTAGCAAAGCAAGCCCCCTTGTCTTAGATTCCAACACAGTGGCCCAAGGTCATGCCGCGGGCAGAAAGTCCAGAGGAGCCAAGCAGAGCCAGCACGGCAGTCAGCACCATGCCCACAGCCCGCTGGAGCAGCACTCCCCGCCCCCGCCGCCGCCGCCGCCGCCGGGGCCTCAGCACCAGGAACCGCAGCTCGGGAGGCTGTCACCCGCCCCGCTCTCGCACCCTTCCCACCCAGAACGGGCCGGCAGCACAAGGCACAGCTCGGAGGACTCGGACATCACCAGTCTCATAGAAGCCATGGACAAAGACTTCGACCACCAAGACTCCCCACCCCTAGAAGTGTTTACAGAGCAGCCGCCGTCACCGTTGTCAAAAAGCAAAGGTAATCCTCCGTTCTCACTGTCAGAAAAGCGTGATGTATGCGGGGAAGGCGGGTGCATAATTAAGGAGCTGTGGTAGAAGCAGCTGATTTAGTAAGTGTTCTTCTGGCTCAAATTCACCTCCAGTTTGGACTTAAGCTTTTCCGTATCTGATGCAAATAGAGAGGTATCCGTTTATCATAAAAAATATTTGAACTTCTTAGGTTATTTATCAAATTTAGAAATTTATTGGACATCTCTTTCCATTTTTTCAACCGTCTGTGATTATTGTGTTGTGATAGGTTGAGCTTTTTTTTTTAATTGTTAAACTAATCTTTAATACAATGGTGAAATGGAGACCCATCCATTTTAACTCAAAAATAATATTTCTGGGGCGCCTGGGTGGCTCAGTCGTTAAGCGTCTGCCTTGGGCTCAGATCACAATCCCAGGGTCCTGGGATAGAGCCCCGCGTCGGGCTCCCTGCTCAGCAGGAAAGTCTGCCTCTCCCTCTCCATCTGCCTCTCCCCCTCCTCATGCTCTCTCTCACTCTTTCAAATAAATAAAATCTTTAAAAAATAATATTTCCACAGAACCTGTACTTTAGAGCAGGGGCTGGCAAACTACAGCCAGAGAGCCAGATCACCACGTGTTTTCATAAATAAAGTTTTATTGGAACATAGACATGCTGATTCATTTCCATATTGTCTATGGCTAGTTTCATGCTATAACAACAAAGTTGAATAGCTGCAAGAGACCATAATGGCCACAAACCTGAAAATATTTACTATCTATGTCTTTACGGAAAAAGTTTGCTGATCCCTGCTTTGGAGTTCTGTGTGCTGGATTAGCTACCTATTTCTCAGTAACAAATTATCCCAAAACGTCGTCACTTAAAATGCCCACACTTACTATCTCAGAGTTGCTGTGGGTCAGGCATCTGGGTGCAGCTTAGCTGGGTTCTCTGGGTTGCAAGACTGCAGTCAAGGTGTTGCCTGGGCTGAGGTCATCTTAAGGTTCAACTGGAGGAGGATCTGCTTCCAAGCTCACTCAGGTAGTTGATGGCACAATTCAGTTTTTCATAGATTGTTGGACTGAGGATCTCAGTTCATTGCTGGCTGTGGCCACCAGCCTCATGGGTCCTCTCCATAGGGCACTTTAAAGCAGTTGGGTTCACCGGAGCAAGGAAGCTTAGAGGCAAGAGAGAGAACAAGCTAGCAGGACAGAAGTCACAGTCCCTAACGACCTAATCTTGGAAGTGACATCACATCACTTTTGTAGTGTTCTCATCAGAAATGTGGTCTGGCCCATACTCCAGGAAAGAGAATTCCACAGAGCATAAACACCAGGAGGGAGGGGGGGTGCACTGGGATTTATCTTAGACATGACATACACATACACAGAGGTAGGCTATTTGGTAACTCCCAAAATCAAAATATAAAAACCAGTAAACAGCCTGTAGCTCTATTTCAATTTAATCCCTTTACAGCCTGAACTTTTTGCATCTTCCTCTCTCTCCCGTAGCAGTCCTGCCACTACACATTATTCCAAGCCTGTTTCAGGAACCCCCTCACTGGTGTACCAGGGAGGTCTTTTGCCTTTCGTTTACACAGGGAACAGGGAAGTTGGCCGTCCTGAGAGACCAGAAGAAACCCAATGTTCCCAGAGTCCAGGAGTTTTCTGTTAGAGAATTTCCTAGTCCCTGATATGAAAACTAGTTACATAGAGTCCTCTTAGAATTACATGCATTTGGATTTGCAAAATAGTAAAATGTCTTGAATATTATTTAACTTTTTCCAGAGAAATGTATTTTTTGCTAACTCATTATTAATAGAGCTTATTTATTTTAGGGTAATTTTCATAAGTAATATTAAATGAATCCTTAAAGTTCTTTTTATTAGATCAAGTTACATAATCAGTTTTGCCCATATTGAGGGCATGAATAAAATAAATGTATATTATCATTTCTTACCAGAAAGAATTTGGCAGTCAAAACTGAATACCTCACTGCCTGTGCCTAAGATAGTCCACTAAAATCAGTGTGATAGGTCCATTTTTATTTTCAGGGTCATTTATCTGGAACATAAATATTAAAATTTTAAAAATGATTTTAATTATCACAGTGGTCCTAGAGTCAACCTACTGAAAGATATTTAATGATGGAGTATGGGTACCACCACATCGTTAGTGATTCTTGAACCCATGAGGACACAGTGATTCCAGGCATCACATGAGTGGCCATTCTACTTGTTATAAGGATAACTGCTGCTGTTTGGAAAGAAGGAAGGAAACAAAATCTTTAATTTTTTTTTTTAGCAAGTATTTTTATTGAAGTATAACATACATATGGAAAACTAGCCTCTTAAATGAACTTTAAAAGGTGGGCATTGATCTCCAGGTTGCAAAATAGTGGTATGTCATAAAACCATAGGATTTTAGCTGGGCAGAACCTTTATAAGCTCTTAAAGCTTACCCCAGGCCCCTGTAGGTAGTCATGTTCATGTTAAATATGAACCTTCTGTTTTCAGAAGCACCCTGTTCCTCCTGACCGTACCCAGTATCTCAGACAAAAAGTCTACCTTATAATGAGCTTATGTAATTCCTGGCTTTTGGAGACTGCTCAGAGTGACTTCTCTTCAAATAAATATGATCTCCCGAGATCTTGCCTAGATTGTAGGCCATCAAGCCATTTCCCTAGTCATTCCTCCTGTCACTGCTCCTCGTGGAAGATGGCACCCAGAAATGCCCTCTGTTCAGAGCTGGCCTGAGCAGGGCCTCGTAAAGCTGGGCAGTCATTAGACTCTATACTTGTTTGGTTTCTTCCCCTGCAATACAGACTCCTAGGGACTGGACAGAGGCCATTGTCGGATTGAGGGTTAAAACCCAAGGAAGCTCTGAACCTAGTGCAGTCACTCGTCAGTATCTGCATTAACTGAAGACATGGTGGAATCTGCAGCCATGCTCATTTCTGGCTTTGGTAGCGTGAGGGGCAGCTTTATCTAGGATTGGGAGATGCAGAGTGGCACACGGTCATGAGGTGAGGCTCAGCCGTAAGGCAGGCCCAGATTGAATCATGGCTCTGCCCCTTCCTAACTGTGTGACTGTGTGAAATTTACTTCTGTGATCCCCCATTTGTTCTCTTTAAAGTGGAGAAGATAGCTACTACCTACACTGTGGGATGTAGCTCCTGCTAGGAGCCACACCATCTTCAGCCTGCTGAGTTGAAGGGAGCTGTGGAACACCCTGGCACTAATGTCTGCCTAGAACATAGTCTTAAGGGTGAGAAATGGGACAAACGGGGCTAAAGACAGAATCCTGAGAGCAGGGCCAGCAAGGAGAAGGCCAGCAGACAGTGTGATGGAAAGCAGGTAGAAGATGTGGTCGCTGTATCCCAGCAAGGCCAGAAGAAGCAGAGGTAGAACAGAGCTGCACAGAGCCTGGCAGCTAGGACATTACTTGACCTTGGCCAGATAGTTGCTGTGAAGTGATAGGACTAGAAACCAGGTTACAGTGGTGTGAGTACTTTTTCACATCAGACTGTTAATAGTGGCCACTTCTCAGGGTATGCGTTTGGGGGCAAGTGAAAGGGGGCATTTACTCTTTACTCTGTAGTTTCCATGCTCTTTAACTTTTAACCAAAAAAAAAAAAAAAAAGTGGGGGATGAATATATTTTTTTATAGATTTTAGTTATGTATCTGAGAGAGAGAACGAGCAGTGGGGAGGGGCAGAGGGAGTGAGAGAGTGAGAGAAGCAGACTCACCGCTGAGCAAGAAGCCCAATGTGGGGCTCAATCCCAGGACCCAGAGATCATGATCTGGGCCGAAGGCGGACACTTAATCAACTCAGCCACCCAGGTGCCCCGGGATGAATATATTGTGTGGTAGTATTTTTAATGAAAAAAATGGGTAGCACGGTGTTTGGAAATATCTATGAGTGAAGGACAAAAAGCCAGTAGAGCTGAGAACAATGATGGTGGTCAACACTAACGTTCCAGGCCTGACTGCACATGCCTCGTGCACCCTGGTGATTGGCATTGCTGTGACCCTGTGTCTCCAGTTAGAAGCCCAGTCCAGAAAGAAAGGTTGCAGCGGGCAGATATGGGAGGCCATGCCCAGGCCTGATTCTAAGCCCTCAGCTTGTAACTACACTGTCCTGCCACCTCCAAAAAGAAGAGAAGCAAATGCCCAAGGAGGTGGGTGGGGTGGGACCCAATTCAGTAGAGTATAAAAGATAGGACACTCATTCCACAGGCATGTGGATGCAGATGAATGGGTAGAGCCGAAGAGGGGTACAGGGAGTCCGAGGAGCTTCTGTTGGAGGCGAAGTCACAGCTGCTGGGACTGAGGGGTGAAGTGGGAGGGTAGAAACAGGAAACAGTTTGGAGTAGTCTGGTTCCACTGAACTCACATTTCTGTGGACTGGGAGTCCATGGGACATGTGAGCTGGATGTGCAGAGCAGCCCCTCAGGTAGCATGGGGACCCCGCCGAGGGTCGCGGTGGCACTCCGCACACTTTTGCCCTCTTTCTCCATGCTCCACTGCAGCCCAAGGGTGAGGAGTGCAAGCTGGGGAGTTGGATTACAGCACTGTCGGACTTCTGCAGGGCGGGGGTGGCAAAAAGACCAGGGGTGAGAATGCCACGGGGGTTGCTGGCAGGACAGAGATGCATATGCCAGACGGTGCAGAACTTGCAGGATAGAGAAGGACCTCAGGCCAAAGGAGCCCCACAAACAGGGAGAACATGGACAGTCAAGGGGTGGGAGATCCAACACATCCAGCTGCAGGGATGGTGGAAGCAAGGGAAGGACAGGAGACTGGTCTGCAAGTGCGACCTGAGACTGCAAGGCTTCAGAGGAAAGGCGATTCTGGGTGGTGACAGGTTCTTAAGTGCAGCCTTGGAAATGGGGTGTGAAAGTAAAGCCCATTAGCAACAGTGAGGCCACAGAGCTATAGGTCTGCAGTCCCTTACACAACCCTCTGGAAGCCTCACATGTTTGGGAATTCAGATTCTGGAAAGGCATGCAGTGCGTGTACCATATGAGTCATAAGACTAACTTCAT